AAAACGGGAAGGCTAAATTTAAATTTGCTGGGTCACACGTGGGTGGAGAGCGTTCCCCTAAAATTTCAGACTCCTAGCTTTTGTGGTTCCCGAGTTGAAAGTTGCGGACAAGCTGCTGCGGACATACACACAAACACACACAGACAACTCCGTGACAATATGCGTTATGTACTGCTGTTACACAGCACAAAACGCATAAAAATGAAGAAACCTATAAATTCAGAATCTGGAAACTTTGTTTCACAGAATTATGCAAACACAGAATCTGAAATTAACCTTGAACTACACTGTAGACGGGCCTGTGACCTTAGGGCTAACTCATACCAATGACCAGAACTAAAAACAAATCCGACACTTCTGTCTACCCGAGATTTCGGATTTTTGCACCACACTCCTACAAAATAAATATCTCTGAAACCAAGCTAACACAAATCTAGGTCCGACAAAATCGTATAGTTGTAAAATAAAATTTTTTGTATTTCTCCATACCCATGCAAAGGCCAACGCGTCTGTCGTTTGACCCTATGCTTTGGGAGACACACTTGGCTAAAGTTATTCTGCCCACTATTTTATTACTCTAACCATCCTAATTAAGAAACTGAATTATCACGACAGATAAATATGTCCACATACACATAGTGACATACACAGTCAGTCAAACATGAAGTGATCTGTGATGGTTCATGCAAAAATGCATAAAAAGTGTAGTTTATTAAATAATGTAAAGTGAAAAGCCAAATTATAGCAATTTGCCATTTTTGAAGCTATAAACCCAAAGAGCTGCTTGTTTAAAAATCACGAGCGATGTAATAAGTCGACTGAGACAGCTACAAAACCTGAATTTCAAGGTGAATCCTGTATCCCATTTTTTTGCGTTTTTTGCAGCTATGCTACGCAAAAACGCATATTGACGAGGGGTTGTCTGTGTATCTGTGCGTCTGTATGTGCGTCTGTCACGCACTTTCATCTCAAGACCTAAGAAAGCTGCAAGGCTGAAATTTCGGGAACTTAATCTACATGCACGCGTCGGCCGCAATCCCCAAAATTGGCGCCATCACCCGCGTGGTACCCGCGCACGGGCCCGCCAAAACTTTTTTCGGGTAAGTTCACAATTCGGGGATCTGAGAAGCTAGAATGCTGAAATCTTAGGGGGGATATTCCCCGTACAAGTAGGTGATAACTTAAGAGCCAGGAAAGCTAGAAAGCTGAAATTTTAAGGGGCCGTTTCTGGCAGTTCCGGCGGCCAGTCTTAATTTGTTCAGCTAGAAGCATTTGCCGAAAAAACCGGTGCCGGTAGCAAAAAAAAACTGCGGGGAACTATGCAAAAAACGCATCTTCGCATGGGCAGCCCGTGCGTTGGCCAGTTATTTCCTATGGCGTTGAGAGCAAAATTAAAGTTCAACAGTGCACTGCTTTCGAACACAGAGATGGAATTTTGGTTAAAATAAGATAATATTTGTACAGATCACAAAATGAAGTATGAAAATCACTCAAATAAGCATTATACCACAGCCTCCAATGTCTTAGATGAGCACCATAATAGAACGGAAGAAATCAGAATGGACAATATAGAGAAAAAACTAACCTATCCAGCACAACAACGAAGTCCTGTAGACCGAATTTCGCAAATATTTCTTTTTTACTCAGTCCGGCAACTGAATTCCTCTCAGATACAGATCTACTGCGCTCTTTCTACAACATTTCGAGCAATTAAACGATGATCCAATAAGTAGCCTCTGAGACAGTACGTCTTGCTGATGCAGAAAAAGTCCTCCTGTACCATCACAACATTTTCAGTTTCAGATGGGGGAAGTTGCTGATCTTTTGTATCGATATTTCTTGGAACATGGTAATCGCTAGATGAGCTCTTAAAGAAAAAAATTAATAGATGGGGGAACAAAGTGCGTACAGTGCTGACCTTCTCCAATTTGGGCGTTCGATCTTTTTTATCAAGTTCCGCTGTACCACTTTTTTTGGTCGCTTTTGCACTGTTGCTGTTTTGCGATGCTTTTTCAGTTGCACTGGTTTTCTTCCTTTTCAACTGAAATCAAAAATAAATGGCAACGCGCACCAGATAGCCGGTGCGATCATGCGTTTTGTGCAATTCAGCCCACCGAACGACTGCCTGTTAATGATTTTCA